GGTTATAAACGTCCCTCTCTTGCAATATTTTGAGTTTGAAAGCCCCGACTTGTAAGTGTCCATCGAAATGTTTAAAGGGGGTTAATAACCAATGGTTACATTCGTCACACCTTTGGTATTATTTCGTAGTTTTAAGTTTTATGTATAAAAATTGAGGCAAGAGTCTGGAAAAGACCCAGCGGTTTGGTCTAGAGGTTTAGACCATTGCTTAGCATTCGGGTGGACACCAGTTCGATTCCGGGCCCGTCTGCCTTGGTCTAACTTTTTCTGTGGTTTTCTTGAATCACTTAGGTAAATGCTGGGGCAGTAATACTCCACAGATAATTTTTCATTCCCTTCTGTTTTCATGTCGTCCGTCTCATCTTTCTCACCCGAACCACTACCCACCCATTCCCATAATTCCTGATAGAAAGCTGAAGAGGACCTTCCGCCCTATCTTCCATTGTAATCCAGAAGGACTGCCCGTCCATCAGCATTAGTGGCTGGTGGGAATGAAACATCCACAAACAAGTGTGGAAAAGGACTTCCATCAATTCTTATTATTAATCATTCGTTGAAGTTGGAGATACTCTTCGAGTAACGGTAAATTTGTACATCCGCGTCAAAACTCTTCCTATTAACGCTTGTTGTACTTATATAAAAGGGTAAAAATTTTTTATACAATTAAATTTGCAAATAGACAAATTAAAGCCCAAATATTTAATAGAGAAATGGTTGTGATGTCGGAAAGAAGAGGTGATCCATCGATGCGTATAATTAGAAAATCGCCGACTAGATCATACACTCGCGTGGAATTAGCGATTGCAACCCTATACTCCCCTCAGAGAACGAACCATCGGATACCCGTGCAGCGGATAGTTGAATTTAATCTCCCGTAATGGCTCTTGGCTATTACTTGATAATTTGTTGTTGATTTACCCGAGATAAAAATGTCCAGTCTCTCAGAGTCTCTGAAAGCGAGACTCGAGTCTCCTCCTCACATCGAGTCTCTCTGGTGTCGCTGCGAGAGGCTGTCGAAAGACATGGTTAAAATTTACTTAAACTTAAAGAGTTCAACATACTTCAGAGATCCCAGTTTTTCTACGAGAGACTCGAGTCTCTTAATTTTTTGGTTTTATTTGATTTATCTGTGAAAAACTCAAATCTCTGAATTAACAATTTTATCGTTCGAGTCTCTTATACAGAGACTGTGAGAGATCCATAAAAACACCTAGGCAATAATTAAGAGACTGTGAAAGACCGTGAGAGACGCTCTCAGATACGCTGAAAGACTCTGAGAGATTGAAGAGAGACTGACAATTTTTGTCTAGGGTATACCTGATCATTTGTCATTAGTTTAACTCTTCAGCATAAGTTAATTTAGAGATAGTTGTGCTGAATATACAACATAAAAGAGAAAACGTTTGTTTTAATGGTAAACCTCTCCAGTGGCAAGCAACTACAAAATAGATGCGAACCTCTATCTCTATTCCTTTATCTAAGTTGCAAGTAGCCTATCCTTCTCATATTATAGAATTCAAGAATCCACTTTTTCTCGGCGACCTGTCCCATTTCCTTTACAACCCCTAAAATTTCTAGCTACTAAACTACCACGCGAGACTAGTTTATTTCTCTTTCCAATAATCTGCCTACAGAAACCTTGACCTTCTGATCGAAAGCAATCCAGATGAATGTTGAAAGCTAGTTGGAACTCCAAAGTTGACGCAAAATACACGATATTCTTACCAAAAAGTTATTTTAAAATTATATAATGTCGTTCTGATTTCGTACTAACATAACCAATATTTAAGATTAGATTGTATAATAAAAAACTGAAATGAAAGGAAATTATTTACCTGATAAAAATACTTCAATTCAATACACGATAAGAATTAAATTAAACTCATAAAATATTAATTTAAAGAGAACCAACATAAACGAATAAAAAATATGCTTTTATTGCAAAGGAATTGTGTCACTAAAGTCATAAACTATATTATAATATAATATAAAATATTCATAAACGACTAGTAAAATCAACAAACAGTTAATTAACGTTAACCAAACGAAGATGAACCCAAATGTAGAAACTACACCGGTAAACACTCTACCAGCTAGCGAAGCTATCCAGCGTTCGCCAAAAAGAAGAAACACTTAGAATGCTGACTACTATTTAAGAAATATTAGTATAACGAACGCATACTTTCCCTAATACAGCAGCGATGTAAATACTAGACAAATTCGACTTAATGGTCATCATATCAGCAGTTATCAATCTTCTAAAAAGCACAAACACTACAGCCGATGAAGCTTTAAAAACTAAAGAAAACTTTTGGGTGTTTTATTCCCACCAGCCACTAATGCTGGTAGGCGGTCTGTCCTTCCGGACTACGCTGGAAGGTAGAGCGGAAGGCCCTCTTCAGTCTCCTTTCAGGAATCATGGGAATGGATAGCGGTGGTTCGGGTGAGAAAGATGAGACAGACTAAATGAAGACAGAAGAGAATGAAAGATTATTTATGGAATATTATTGCCCCACCATTTGCCTGAGATCTAAGGAAACCATAGAAAACTTGGATAAAGGCAGACGGACTCAGAATTGAACCGGCGTCCTCCCGAATGCTAAGCAATAGTCTAAACCTCTAGGCCATGCCGCTTGGTACAGCCGAAATTCACTGCCTTACTTATATGTATATATGAAATGAAAAGTTCCCTCGTCCGTTCCCTCGGATTGAAGGCTTCGGCCCCAGAGTCTTGTATATTCGCGAAAGGAAAAATGCACATAGAAAAGAAGTTGTGCCAGAGAGAAAGATTCAAAGTGGAGCTTATGTAATGGAATAGTCTCGTCATGAAGCCGTCAGTGTACAACGGTACAACTAAAAAACAAAATCGGGCAATGATATTATTTAAATATTGTTTGGACCTTAAGTCTTAAGAGACTTGGTGCAATTTCCTTTTTAGTTTTGATATTCCACTAGCTAATCTTTACGTTTTATTAATTTCTGTATAATATTATGCAACTCTTTTTAACAAAATAACATTTTAGGGGATAATAATATTTACATCTTCAAATTCTTAGTACAACATGCAATTAAATACTTTTATTTTTCCTGAATAACATGTTTTGTAAAATGTAATTTCTACTACAAGGAAACGTAAGTATCTTTGTAGAAATATAATAAATAAATAACATAAAGGAAAGGAAGTTGATTATTCATTCATGGTACGGAGTTTCACCATTATGTGAGATAACCTATTGATAGATTAAAATGATGTTTTATTACGAAAATTTCCATTCAAATCCATTGTGTTTTTATTACTATCTTCTAAAATAAAATTACCGTAAGTAAACATTATAGCTACGTAAAAGAATTATGTATTCATTCTTATCTTTTTACTTTTATATAAAGCTGATGCTTTATGAGACTAATTGTAAGACAAAACTAAAACGAGTGGTATTTCTCTGGGTTTATGTTGAGGCGTGTAATGTAGATAATATGATAATTTTAATCCAGTAGCTTTAGCTATAGTGCGTATAATTCTTGTTAAATGTATACGTAAATGGAATGATAAAAATAATCGTTAGGTACTGGAGAGAAAATTACTTAAATACTGTTTAAATAATTCTTAGTTTATAGTTTTACAAATAGTAGATGATAATCATTACTTTTACTTTGACAATTAATTGAATAAAACCGTTTTAAGGCGAGTGTGTCAAGCACGTGTCAGCACAGTCTATTTCAATTTGTTAGAATTGTGACCTTGAAGAAATCTGCGCGAAGATAGAAAGAATACACACTAGGCGTGAGCAAGACAAAAATACTTGGAACAAGCTTGAACGAGCAGAGCTCTCGATGGGCGGCTAGAACTGTACAGTACTAGACGAAAATGTTTAGCAATTTCTTAAAACAAAAATGTATATAAATTAACAATAGAAAACAAAGCAAAAGTTTTATAGGTGTGCAGAACGTTAAGTTAATTCACTAGTTATTATTTTTAGCTAAATATGCGTTTAAATAAAGCATATCCTTAAATTTTAACGAGGCAGTTTAAATAATTTTGCAAATGAGCTCCGCAGACAAATATGATTGAATTTGGAATTATGCTACGGCGCATCCTAATAAAGGGAAGGGGCATATCTCAAACTTCTTGAAACGAATAATAATTACCTACCTGCATTCACCTAGACCCTAGAGCCTAGACCCTAGACCCATTTATAACTATTTCAAACTACTTCTTACAATTGCAATAAAAATAATTCTACGTTCTTAGGGACGCCAGTCACTGCAGTTGACAAAACATCAGATAAACGATACCATTAGTGTTCTCACCTAAATAGGGACAATCCTAAACCACGCCCATCAAACCCGAATATCAGCATTATTTAATTACACCGGCCGTGAACGCCTAATTCATTTTATCAATGAAAATAATGTTTTTAGGAAATTCAAACTGTATGGCAAGTAGTAAGTTTCACGTAATTAAGCACATGTTTCATGTTTATTTACAAAAGTTACTTTCGTTTATTAGAAATCCTTGATCTTAATAACAATTTTTTTGCAATTTGCTGTTTAGTAATTGGAGAGCAAACAATACTTCATTTACATATATGTGCTTATGCAATTTTTAACTAACACCCGGTGTAAAGTGAAATACGACTGCGTATTACACACGTGAACAATTGGAACGAATTTAAGTTTAATTCATAATAGTGATTGTTATTATGTGCATGAAACTTATTTGTGTATTCAAGGCGTTCCAAATTTGTATCGGGTTCATATGATGAAAGATAAACTTATTCTCCGACTGTTCCGACTTGTACAACAACATGCTTATCATTTTATAAGTTACATTGAAAAACATACAAGAAAACATCTTTGTACAAGTTAATAAAATTACTATTACTCAAATATTCCGTTCGTTGACTTCGATTACAAAGTACGAAATAAAAAATTACGTGAATAGTTGAAGATCTGTGTATAATAATAAACTGTTGTGTGTAGTTATTTATAATTATAAAGTGCGTGAATGTGTAGTGTTTGTTAAAATTAATTTAATCATCGTTCAGGTAAATATCGCTTTCCTTTAATATTTTACGAAAATACTGTTTTTTTATCAAACAGATATAGATCTAATACGTATCTCTACCTATTTATAATTTTTACCTCAGTAGGTACCATTGATAATTATTTATTTAATTACAAATAATTTCGCAGCTTTCTGAATATCTAAAGTAATTTTTGCTGTAAAATCAATGACTAAGTGTTTAAATTCTAAGTTTTCTGTAACGAACCAATTAGAAAGATTCAAGTTATGAGCACTTTACAGAAAATAATGCGAGTGCCAATTAAAGGAAAGTTTTCATTTTAGAGGTACCTAAACAGGGAAATTTGAGGGTGGGTATATAATTGCTCCCTGCAAACTTTTAAACATCTCTCTACCTTGATATTGTTGATTCTTCCATCTTGGGTGTTCGGCAGATTCCACAAAGGCCTCAGTCCTAACAGTTTGTTAATAAATTCACTATTATCTCCTGTATAAACAAGAAAATACTTCATCAAAATTTTTAGTACTTACTAGAATTTTCGTTCCTGTTTGTGTAGATGTAGAGGGTAACATATACAAGGTGCTTCTGAAATTAGTAGCAAGCTCTGAAGGGTGCTAAGTAGATCCAATAGGGAATCACATAGTGAGTAAGCCAGCATGATTAATGGTTAATAAAATTTGTGACAAAACCAAAAGAGTTGCAATTCGAAGCCCGCCATGGGCTTAAATTGGCAACGTACAGAAAAATTGTGATAACAACTAAAAGCCGCTACACCGACGAAGAATGTAAACAGTGACGGTTGTGTTGTGTAAAGTAAATATGAACAGGTTACTATTACACCACTGCACATAATAACATAATAAACATCTTTAATCACACTTAATCTAATCTAATAGCAAAATGCAAACAATGCATGGTACCAAAATACAATAGAAATTCCAAAAAGATTGTTAATTGTGTATGCTTGGAGCGCGGCGTTGTACGGGTGCCAAACATGGGCGACGGGCGCGGCGAAAAGGAAATGGTTAGAAGCGTTCGAAATGTGGTGTGATAGGCGAATGAATGAGGATATCGTGGATAGAGAAGGTTAGAAATGAAGAGATATTAGAAACAAGAGGAGAACAGAGGACTCTGTGGAACTCATACGAAATAGATGAAATAGGTTTGTAGGACACCTTCTCAAGCATGAAGGTCTAGACAGAGACAAATTAGAGGCAGATACGGGAGTTAGGAGGGGTAGAGGTAGACCTAGATTAGATTACTGTTCGCATATAGTTAAGGATATGGTTTGTTCTAGTTTTAAGGAAATGCGAAGATTAGCTCAGGATAGGAAACAGTGGAGGTGCGTGTCCAACCAGTGTTATGATGATGATAGTGTCTTATTACCTCCTGCTTCCTACTTTTTTCAGAAACACCCTAGGTATATCGATTACAGAATCGACGAACTCTTTGATTTCTAGTCATATCCAACATCAAATAGTACCAAACTGATTAAAATAACACCCCATTTTATGTATAATTGTTAATTAATAAGTAGAATGTAGAGAATCGGATACCATAGTTCAAGAAAAAAAAAAGCACTTTTTCCAATTATACCACGAGAGTTTGCGTAAGTGAGTTTACTTCGCCGGCTTATTATTAAATGCCTAATATAAAACATGAACGGTACTGGACTTTGTTTATTAAAATACATTCAAAAAATGAGCATGTATTCAAAATATTTAACTTCATGTTACGTACATAATACGTACTTAACATTACGTATTATTGTATTTTCAACTGATTTGCATTCGTGATTAAAATTATATTGCGAGCAGATTTATAGGAAGTAAAATTGAACGTTAAATTAGCAATTTCTTGTTCTTATTTATACTTTAATTAATTAACGCCCAATTTCTGCTTTACAGTTTTATATAATAATTTCATAGTTTTCAGTTTCGATGAGACAGACAAATGATTGAAAAGTTTAGAGAAGATGCTTCTTCAGATTTTTGTTAATTAACATATAACAGTTACGGCAAGTAGCAACTGAAATTACATGTTGCACTACATTTACTGTAACATTATAATTAATTATAGAGAATTTGTAATGTATTCAGCGTGAACATTATCATATCAAACGTTTGAACACAAATCCTTTTGCAAATAACTGTTCCTATTAATTCGCTACAATTGTTTCGACCTACAGAAGTCATTCATTCTTAATAAGATTTACACTCTTTACTACAAGTATGGCCAACCTGGTAGTATATTTGTAAATCCATACAAATCGTAAGTGTTCCTTTTTAAACAGTAGATGCAGGAGGAGTATTAATACCTGCAAGTGTTAATAGTACAAATACTTTGTGATTTGTTTCTAAAAACTGTTTTATCTCTGTAGAACTATCGTTTTGACTGCTAAAATTAAGGCGTGTGAGTAAACAGTTTTTTAAATTAGTACAAAGTGCACGTTATTCCTTTTTTTATGTTTTTTCCAGTTTGCGATGAGAATTTTGCTCTAATTTTAAGTTTCCTCTCTGTCGATTTCCATTAGCTATTATTATGCCACTTTTATATTTTTATAAGAAAATGGCTCGTCTCGCTTTGGCCAAATTTTGTATGATTGAGTAGTGACCTTCTAAATATTTTACTCTTCCTATAAAAAGATTATTATACGTATACTACCAAATTCTTGGCAGTTACAAAAGTCGTAATGTAGCTAATGTCCTACATTTGGATCAAAAAACAAATATGGGGCATTTTATTTATGTAGATATTTCAGTCGCTTGAATTGCTCAATAGGTTTTCTTTATTCTGCTGGTTCTTATTATCGATGCTTTTTATTATAATGAAGCATATTATAACAAGGTTAGAAACATAAGCGCACGCATTCGTTAAAATAAAACTGTATGTAGGCAATAAGCAATAAAAATTCAAAATATGTTAGACATACTTGGTTAATTCTTTACTATTTATATTAAGAGACCACAATAACTGAGTTTTTAAAATTTGTATGTGTAGGTACGTTTACCTATGTGTTGTATTTTTGTGTAGGTACTTTTTTGTGATAAGTAGGTATCTCCATGAAGGAATTTAATAACAACATATTTTACATCCCTAGACAAAAATCTCTCTCAAGTCTCTCAGAGTCTTTCAGCGTCTCGGAGAGCGTCTCTCACAGTCTCTCAGTTATTGCCTATGTGTTTTTATGAATCTCTCACAGTCTCTGTATGAGAGACTCGAACGATAAAATTGTTAATTCAGGGATTCGAGTCTCTTACAGACAGACTGAATGAATTAAACTGAAAAATTGAGAGACTCGAATCTCTCGTAGAAAGACTGGGATTTCTGAAATATGTTGAACTTTTTACTACTATTTTTACTATTTTAACCATGTCTATCGAGACACCACTTATTTAGAGATTCGAGTCTCTCGTTCAGAGATTCGAGTCTCTCGTTCAGACACTGGATACGAAATGAGGATCGTCTATGAGTGACTCGAGTCTCTCGTTCAGAGGCATTAAACAGTTTTTCTGACAGTCTCTCGACAGTTTCTCTCAGCGACACCAGAGAGACTCGATGTTAGAAGGAGACTCGAGTCTGGCTTTCAGAGACTCTAGCAGGGGATGCGCCCAAATGGAAATTGATGAATAGTGGCAAATTGTCCTTTATTGAGTAATTCGTTAATTTACAATGTTAGAATCAAGTTTAGTAGTAATAATGAGTGTATCAATATCATGAAAAAGTGAAACCTCCTAATCCTAGTTCATTAACTATTTTGTTAATTGGGTATATCTTTACGGTATTGAGAATTATCACATAATTTAAATACACTTACCCATAAAAACGGACTGCAATACTTTACTTATTGATATGTACATGCATGAACTAAAAAGTTAAAATAGGAATCTATTCCTCATTTTTCACTTCAAATTCGAATGAGACTACCCTTATCTAGCCAGTAAAAATAAAATCATTAAAATTGGCGAAGAAATCGTGTAACAAAAACACAAAAAAGTTACAATAAGAATTATAAAAGAATTTTTGTTTGGTTTTCAATACAACCTCAAATAATGTAGTGGTAAAAGTTAATTCGTTTTTATGTAAAAAAAGTACAGTTGAAATGAGATTGCGAAGGTGTCTACTTGACCAACTGGACCGACGACGCAGTTCATATACGTACTTAATACATGAAAGACACCACGTAATCAAAAAGTTCGAAACGGTAATTTCAATACATTTATTATTGACCAAGTACTTAATCTATTCTTAATAATTTGGTTTCTTGTTTCTTGTCTTAAATAGGCATAAATTACTATAAAATGCTTTATAATACTTCGGAAGAATTTTGATAATAAACAAAATAAAAACAGTATCTACTATTTCTGTGTATTCTTGACAAGTACCTAATAGTCTGAAAAGTTGTAGAGATTATTATCAAATCCTTTCTGAAACATTATATGTATTATACTTCTTTTAATTAGATGTACTAGCATTATACCAGTGACTTAAACAAAATCTTATGTTAGGCAAATGCTACGTTAAATACAAACGAACTTTTGTGCATTATTTCACTAAAAATTAAGTTTTTTTAAAAGTTCCTTGAAATGAAGATATTGTTAAATAATGTCGGCAGTCAACGTTTGTCTGTTAGGGTTTCCGTTAAATCGTGTGCTCTTCAAACAGTAGTTTGTATAAAGTAGCCTCAAATTCCTTGAAATTAATTTTGTCGGAAGGTCCGTCTATTGTAGTCATCAGTCTTAATCGTTGGGTAATTAGAGGTTTTATTCATTCAATAACAACAGTTTATCGTCACACAATTAGATACAGATTGATAAAGCAATGACATTAGCATTTAACATTATCAATAACCCTCATTATTTTTCTAGAATTGTATAACGCAAGCTTGAAATTTTAATGGCTTCTTCAGTGAATTTAATTTTACAATTTGCTCCTTAACATCATTCAGTCGTTATTGTCTTCTCGAATAGGTACATCAAAAAGGATACATTTTCAGCTCTAAGAAAATCTGGATACTCGTT